ACGCTAACTCTTCATTACGAATTTATAAAAGAGATCACCTTTTCGCTCACACTCGATGAATGCACGCATGCGACGCGCTCGCTGAATGCGCTCTTCTCGAGGCGTAACGACGCCACGAAAGAGAGAAAAAGGGAGGAAAGAGAGCGCGAGAGGGAGGGACGAAAAGGGAAGACTGACACGTCCATCGTCCGACTCGCGGGCGCAACCTAACCTAACCAATAACCGACTAACTCGGCGAAATTGGCTTCGTGCGGTTTCTTTTATTAAAAACGGCGCTCGGCTTTGCAAAAATCTTACGTACGCACGCACGTATGCACGCACGCACGAACGCACGCATGCACGAACGCACGCACGCACGCACGCACGCACGCACGCACGCACGCATGAACGAACGTATGCGCGCACACGTGCAAAAGGGAAACGGACCGAGAGCAAACCTCGCGAGCGAGCAGCAATGAAAGAGAGAAGAGATCGACCAGGAGGAAAAGATAGATAGGGAGAGAGAAAGAAAGAGAGAGAGAGAGAGAGAGAGAAAGAAAGAGAGAGAGAGAGAGAGAGAGAGAGATATGGCAGGTCGGGGCAAGGAATTTGCTCGCGGCATGGATACCTATTAGATGGGTACATCGTTTATACCCGGCACGCACTTCATCCGTGGGAGCGCACGCGATACCCTGTCGGGTTTAGCCGTCATTATTGTTATTAATAATAGTACGTAACGACCGATAATTGCTCAAGTCTGCCTGCGCCTCTGGTTTCCATTACCTCGCGGTCTCTCGCGGCATCGTCCGCTGGAATGACGGACAGGACTGATCTTTCTCTCTCTCCCTCTCTCTCTCTCTTTCTTTCTCTCTCTCCCGGTCTTAGCTTATGTCTCCGTCTCCGTCTTTCCATCCGTCGCATCCTTGCCGCCTGTCGAGGTGCCCGAAGACGCGGCCAGGCCGCGACAGAAAGCCGCGAATCACGGATGATGCATGCACGTCGGCGGTGCGAGCGACGTCGTCCTTCCACGATGAATCCGTGCGTAATTGGGGTCAGAAGGCGAGTCTCGATGGGACCCTTTACACTCGATGGTTGACGTTGATGTTAGCACGCGAACGTGACTCTCATTTCTGCTCGCTCCTACCGTGCCGCGCGGCTCGCGTGGAGCAAAACGGAAACAACGGACATACAGTCTGATCTTCAAATGTGACGCCGTGCTTTTGTCTATCATTAGGACGTGATAGCGAAAAAATCGACCGACGAGAGAGAGAGAGAGAGAGACACGGTGCAATATCGGTGCACGATAGAACGGTCGATCGGGCAAATCGATGATCACTCAGCAGCCGCTGAGCAGCTGCTGTTGCCGGTCTGACGTCACAACACGATGACATTTGTGCTGATGTTTGACCGCTAGTGCACGAGGCTGCTGCGGCTATTATTATCTGAAAACTTAATGCGACAAAAGTTGCTTGGTTAGCTGCTCGTTCGTGTAACCGTCGATGGCTCGCGCGTCGGTCTGTGCCTGGAACACGCTTACGCGAGCGCCGCCTCTGCCGACGTTTCCCTTCCGATAGTGGTATACCGGGAGGTATTAATTAACTCATGACTAATTGACGCCGCTTCGCTCGTTGTCTTTCCCACGGCTTTAGAACGGTGTATTAGAAGTTTAATTTCTGTTGGATACACGATGGCGCAGGAGCCGAAGTGCGTGCTTCCAGGAGTCGTCCGGCACGACACGATGACTTTCATGCTGAAGATCTCTACTGTCGAGAAATCGCATGATATTTGTGACTATAAGTGCACAGCGCAGTGTTTATGGTCAAGGGAATCATTTCTGTAGGAAACGTCGCGCTATGATGTTGCTGTAAACTTTGCTACATATTGCTATTTTTTCGTTAGAGCGCGACAGGAATGTGGTTGGTGGCGCGGTAAAAGGACTATATAGTAGTATGTGGTAAAAGTATTGAAATTCTTTCTTTTCGCTGTTGGCGTAATTTTCCACTCAAAGAGCAGATTCGCTCGGATTCAAGCGATTGTCCATTCAGAGTGTATCTAATCGTCGAGATAGCTTGATATTTGTGACTACAGTTATGTAGTGAAAGAGTATTACAATTACGGGATGACCATTCTTGCAGAGAGTGTTACTACAATATAAGAAAGAACAGTAGGTTCACTCGGTGGTGGTGCTTTTGATCTCAGGTGCTACAAGACCGCCATGTTATTGGTTGTGCGCGGGTTATAATGTGAATGACAATGAATAGTAGCTAAAACAGATTTATTGCTGTTTTTCAATATTTACTGTCAAATCTATAATATACATTATAAAATAACGTAAAAATATGAACTATTATTAACATAATATGTTAATAATATTATAATTAATAATATATAGCATATTAATAATTATAATATAGAAAGATGTATATATATATACAGGGTGATAAATTTCAAACGTAACAGGTAAACAATCTCGGAAACTAAATGATATTGAGGTCCGCCTTTTTTTTATATTGTATTGTATTTCGAAGGGGACACATTTTGATTAAAACAAAATTTAACACTTTGCAAATTTAAATTTGCACTTTTGCAGTTTTGCAGTTTATTATACAACATTTATACCCACCTCTTTCATTCATTTTACTGATTTTAATAAAACAACAATATTATATTAAAAATTCGGTCATATGGTTAATCGTTGCTTACACTTACACATTTTGACAGCTATTGGCCGCCATATTGTTGGTCGTGCAGTTCAGTCATGCACGACAAACGACCGTTCGCACTATTTTGTGCTGAGTAAATCTACTGTTCTTTCTTATACTGTGGTGTTACTATAATGTTACTATAATGACAATAACCTTGCACATATACTGCAACTACTCTGCTCTTTCAAGCGAGAAAATACAGTTCACACCGAGAAAGCTATAGTTTTTGGAGAGCTTGACCATTTTTTCCTCATACAATCAATTTTTTCACTCGAAGCTGAGGAATAAATCCAACGTGTTATCAGAGTCGACTCCAAGTTTGGATGAAATATCTATTCGTTCGACTCAAAGTGCCATTTTGATTGTCCTTTTGAGCGAACTTGCATTCGTCTTGAGTAAAATTTCACTCCAAGAGATTTCGACGGCAATTAGTAGCATTAGAGACAAAATTTTATCAACGCGCGAGCTGAGTCCAAAATTAAAACTTAATTTGCGAGATCCTGGAGTAATTTCGTGGACCACCAAAATTGCAGATAAAGGCGCGTTAATTTTGAGATTTTTCAACTCCGAATGCAAGCTCCGAATTACTTTGTCGCATTTCACGGCGGAAAAGCTGTCATCGCGTTAAAGTCCACCAGTAACCGATCGAGAGTAACGCGTCCAGAGAGAGCGGCAATTTTCGTCCCAACATTCGAGGAAGAATATACGCCTTTTTTACGCGATATACATGAAATTTACTTACCGCAGCGCTCGTCGAAGTTAAGCAGACGTCCGTCGCTCGCGTATGATAAATCATTCCGGATTATCGCAGGCCGACGCGCAACGGTTACACGTGCGCGGATAATTCTCTCGTATCACGATGTGCATTACGTAAAGTATCCTCGCACTGTCCTAATCACTGCGTCATGAATTTACTCAGATACGAAGATGGGATTGATATCCGTTTGCAGGTGGCACGCGATGCTAAGTATCGCGCACTGTAATTAACGATGAGTCTGAAAACACATCGACTCATTGCGAATGCACGATGAAAGTCTCGAATTATGCTGATTATTATTCACGATCGAAAATCCTGTGGGGTCCTGGAGATGCCGAACGTTCCTAGAGCTCTGTGTGGTTCGGAAATATCGAACATCACTAATTGGGAAAGAGGTCACGCGACGAAGTCACCAGGTCGTCGCGAGGTGTAATTCGCCCTGTATTTTTCTATTTTTCGTGTTATTCGATTCGATTCGATTCGATTAGCTTACCATGAAGTTTGAAATGTTGTCAAGATATACTGTGATCGTGTGAAAAATATCATCGCTCATCTTTATCGACTCATGAGAGAAGGAGAGAAGAGAGCGAAGGGACGGTGAAACGGTAAGGTTGGTAGGCCTTAAACTAATTAAACTAACTTAGATGCATTCCGTAATTGATCAGCTGATTACGCTTGGACGTCACAGCCGTCTATTACTTCTGTTTGCAAACTTGCTTTTAGTTATTAATCTTGCAATATTAGATAGAGAAATGGGTAGATTTTTTATTATTTATCACCCTGATTATCGGATCTTCTGATCATAAAGTCGATCGCGTGAATCAGCCGATCAATTACGGAACGTATTAAAGTTAGTTTAAGGCCTACCAATACCTCATAACTAAAACCAAAGTTTCCAAAATCGATTTCGGAACAGATTTGAAGTTGTAATCAATGTTAAAAGATGGCACGTTATTTGTATCGTCGCTATTGTTACAAGTTATTTTTTTCCAATAACAACTATGAAAGGACATTCCTATTTTTCCATCCATATTTCTATTTTTTGAAAATGGTAGCGGCAATTGAACTTTTGGGATAACGAATCGTAAGTATGCAAATGAGGGTCTCCAGAATTTCATAAAAACAGCCATAGAATTCGCACGATTTCTTGAATAGCGATAACGGTAATCAGCTTCCTTTTTTCCTTTTTTTGCAAAATTGATAACGCTAACGGTAACGAGAGACGGGTAGCGTTTTCTTTTCTCAACGGGTAGCAGTAACGGATTATTCTTCAAAAGTAACTTTCCCAACCCTGGTCGTGTAAAACATCGTAATTGCCGATGGATCAAAGCCTGCCACACACGCCCAAGAAGGAAGATATGTGGTCGGACGTCCCGGGTGCGTGCATCGCGTGATTTTCGAAAATTATCGGCCCATGATTTTTGGCGTGAGCGTGCTCGCGCGGGAAATATAAACGCGCGGCGCCGCATGCGGCAAGCCGTTTACGAGCGATTTTATCAGGCGGACCAGGACTTTTGCCAATGCGCCGCGTCCTTGAAGACCGTTTTATCGTGTTTCAGGTACGCTGCGGCCGCCGGGCCTGATCGGCGGCAGCAAGCCGAAGGTAGCGACTCCGGCTGTCGTCGCCAAGATCGAGCAATATAAAAGGGAGAACCCGACCATCTTCGCTTGGGAGATTCGGGAGAGGCTAATCTCCGAGGGTAAGATGACAATATTCCACCCCCCTGCGTTCTGCTCGTTCATTCTTGTCCGAATGATAAATTCGTCACACGCTGAGAGTGGCTGTGGACGAGCCAGAAATCGAACGACGGAATCCGATTTCGCGGAGGTCACGTGCGACGGGACGAGCGCAGCGCCGCCGCCGGCGCGGCGGTAATCGCCAAGTGCAACAAGATCATCCGCTGACGAACTAACTCGGCGAAAATTGACACCGGCTAAAAGAACCTTCGCGCTGCGCGCAACGCGCTTAGTCACAGACTTAGCCGAGAGACTTCGTCAGCGCGATGCATAAAATAGCGTGTTCCTTACTTAATTATGCCCATCCTCTGCAGGCCATGCGAGTGCAAACCGCCCGTGATTACAGACGCACGTACACCGCTAACGTGTAATTTAGCGAAAGAATTAAGTTCCTACGGCCTTACTTCTTGACACACATACCTGTTCTCGAGCTCGCGCTCGCGCTCGCGCTCGCGCTCGCGCTAACACGAATCCCGCGACGGACAATTGTTCGTCAATTGCAACATCGTATCCCCGCGTGTGTGTACACGCTGCGTTTTGCACCCAGCGCTCCCGATTCTCAATGTACGCTCACTAGATTACCAACATAAGCGCTCGTCTTTCGCTCGTATTCGATCAATAATATGTTCTACTTTAATTTGATATATCACACGCGCACCATCTAGCGGCAATTTTTATCATTAAACAGTAAGCGCAACTTTGTCATTGAAAAACGCAATGTGAGGCTTAGAGTCCGGATAGAAAAAAGCGGCTAGCTTAGAAGCCATATCTTTCACTGTCCAGTGATTTTTCATTGGTCAACGCTTTTCTGCGATTCTTTTCTGCTAACCTCAATTTCATCAATATCGATAAATTTCATTGTAGAGTTTACCTTGACCGGTACTGATAGTCGGATCTTATATTTAAGATTATCTTTAGTTTATCTTTAGATAGGTCGTTTTATCGGCTACGAAGCATCTGAAGATAAACTAAAGATAATTAAGCAGACGTCCATTGCTTGCGCATTATATATATATATATATATATATATATAAGATGATTTTAAATTTGATTACGAATACCGGCTTAGAATATGCTTGTTGTGTCGCTGAACGTAACCAATGTCTCCAGCCCATAGATCGATTCCGCAATAGTTCTCCCTCTTGCCTTATTTATTTCCACGAGGAATCTCCCAGTATAATATAAAGTTCACGAGCCAACGATTTCCAACGCAACAATGTAAGACTCTCTGGCTGATAATAAAATAACAAAAAACAGCAAAGAACAGTAAAGGCCTTTGCACGTAGAAAATCCGTAACCGCAACCGTAAAGTTATAAGAAACCGTAAGGTTATAAGAAAACTGATCAATCAGAGTCAATTATTGGCCCTGCTCTAGAGGAATAATCGACTGGGATTGGTCAGTTTTCTTACGATCTTAAGGCTACGATAAAAATTCTACGCGCAATGGCCTTAAGAGCCGATCAGGACAGGGCCCGCAAATCACACACACACACACATACACAGCCGGCCGCAGATCAAGCCATTAGCAGGCCAATGCTCGAGCATCCGCCGTCCTAACCTGAAAATTATCGAGCCCTCGGCCGGGCAATAATAATCAATAAAAAGAAACGGCCTCGGGGCCAAAGCCGCGCGACGCGCCTTCCCACACGACCGCCCGCTCAAGGAGACGTTGTCCACTCGGCCACTCGGCCTGTTCCAGGGGTCTGCAGCAACGCGACAGCGCCGTCGGTCAGCAGCATCAACCGGATACTGCGGAACCGCGCGGCGGAGCGCGCGGCCGCGGAGTTTGCGCGTGCCGCCGGCTACGGGCTGTACGCGGCCGCCGGGCCGCATCCGTACTTCAACTCGCACCAGCATCCGACCACGAGCCACCACCTGCCGGCGGGCTGGCCGGCCGCGCCCGGAGCGGCCGGCCACCCGTGGATGTTGCCACCTCTAGCTACCGGTATCTCCGGCGCCGCCGCGTCCGCATTGCTGTTGCCGCCGTCGCTGAGCCCCGGCGCCGCGGCCGCCGCGGCCGCGGCCGCGGCAGCGTCCGCGTCTGTCGCCGGCAGCACCGAGCACGCGTTGCACGCCGCCGACGCGATCGCTCGCGGTTACTTGCAAGGTGACGACCACGACGACCGGGCGAATCGTCAGCCTGACTTTCTACGCAGGCTTGGGACTCTCGGCTCTCAAAACGCTCAAACGAGGAGTCGTCTCGGCGCTCTGCCGTTAAGGCTTAGTCAACAATAGATGATTTAAGCTTTAAGAACTTGACCAATTACAGTCGAAGATTCTCCTTAACTTTTGATTGTGACTGGTCAGTTTCTTAATGCTTAAGGTGTAAAGTGCTCATTTAACGTGTTGGGAATTGCTCAATTTACTTGAGGCTAGAAATTACAACTTAAATTGGTATTTTAAGCCTTAAGTCTTAAGAAATTGATCAATCACAGACAATGTTAAGAAGAATATCTGATTACAGTTGGTCAGTTTCTTAAAACTTAAATCATCTATTGTAGACGAGATCTAAGGGTTTTCTAGAGCAGGTCGTAAGTCGTGAGCGTATTGACCAACCACAGTCGATTATTTCGAGAAATGACCGACTGCGGTTGGTCAATCTGCTCATGACTGGTGACTAACCGGTGGCTTGTTGTAGAGAGCTCTTCAGGGCCCAGGGTGCGCGGAAAAACTGAAGCAACAAGATGCAAGCAGTAAGCAAATGAAGCAATTACGGTTGAACGTTTTTCGGCCATAGGAAGAATAATAAATTGACATCCTGGTCCTTCTTTCCTTATTGCTTACGTCTTATGCTGAAATTCCGTATATCCGGGTCCTTGCTCATTTCGGGGAGTGACTCGGTAGCATCGTCGATATACTCGAAAGTCGTGGTGGTTTGGGTTTCTCGTCGGATTCTCGTCAGCTTTTCATGACTCGCTGCAAAGTAACGGTTATATTCGTCACGCGATAAACGGAATCGCGTTGGAGTAATTGACAAAAAATAACACCATTGCCGAGTCGTTTCTGGAAGAGTAACTCGCAACGCCAACGAAGCTGAAAGTAACGCGTTACTTTCCAACCTTGTTAATACGCGATGCAACGTTGTTCGCTTCTTGTCGTCTTGATTGACCAAATTTTGCATCAATTATCGTTCGAAGCGGTCGACAAACCGGTTGCCGGTTATTTCTCCCAGAGGAATTGTCTCGATGATGCTGCTGAGGACGTGGGAAAACAAGTCGAGAGACTCCTCATTAACATTCGCGCGAAACGGTTCAACGCTCTTTTAATGAACGTCAATCGTCGTAAGCGTCAATGATCCACACTATGGAGGAAGAGATGAATCGAGACAAAAGCTTGAATCGAGGTAAACGAACACAATTTCAGGGTTGTTTACGGCGAACCGGTCTTACCTCTTTTAGCAAAATTTTCATCGTTCGTGTTTCAATCATTCACGTTTATGTAAAGCGAGCTCGAAATTTTCTTTAATGGGGTAATCACAGGATCACTTTCAGCACATTATTCGTCATACTCGTCTGATTTGCTTCATCATCTTCCAAACGGAGACAGAGTTACTTGCATCGCGCGCACTTTAGCCACTTTTCGGCAGACGGAAGAACATCTGTACGTTATGTGTAGTGCTGTTAATCCTTCACCGTCCCCTCAAAGCCCAAATCGGTTTCGGAAATTTTGGTTTTAGGTATAAAGTTGGCAGGCCTGACTTCGATACTTTCCGTAATTGATCATCTGACTAATCGTCGAGATAATAAATAATAAAAAATCTGTCCACTTCTATATTTAATATTACAAAATTAATAAAACCAAGTTTGCAAACGGAAATAGTATATGATTGTGGATGTCCAAGCGTGATCGGCTGATCAACAGCGGATCAATATCTGAGTCAGTTTAAGATCTACCAACCTTACAACTAAAAAGGGAAAAAAGATTTCCGAAACTGATTTCAGAATCTGCAGCTCAGACAATCTTTTCAGATCATAACTCATTCAACTTATCCGATGAATTTGCCTCGCAGCTTGCGCGGCAAAACGCGCCCAATCTTGACTCTATTCTTTTAACTCGATTTTGTCTCGGTTTATCACACTTCACGTCGACAACAGTCGTTTGATTTCTCGTGCTTTCTGTCCTCTTCCGAAGAAGAGACGTAAGTTCGCGGACAGGAGGTTTCCTCGCTGCATATCGCGTGAGCCGCGGAGAGCTTTTCGGAGAGCCAGCCTTCCAACGGGAGAAACCTTTCACCGCGGGGGAGGAGGGAGACGGCCGCGTTCCTAAAGTCACACGCAACCGTTCCGCGTCCGCGTGTTCGTCGCGCGAGCGACTCGCGCTCGGAATCAGAGCATGGCTCCCTTGGAACGACGCGTTTGTCTTGATGCGCAGACGGTGACGGGGACGACGGAAGCTTGGACGGCTCGGAGCAGCCCAAGTTCCGGCGCAACCGCACGACCTTCAGCCCAGAGCAGCTGGAGGAGCTGGAGAAAGAGTTCGAGAGGTCGCACTACCCCTGCGTGTCGACGCGCGAGCGTCTCGCTTCGAAAACGTCCTTGTCGGAGGCGCGCGTTCAGGTGAGGATCCGCCGCATCGCGCGGATAACGGATAAGCGGTCGACGCTGACGTCTACGCAGGGTCCCGAAGAAAGCTCTGATCTCTCTCTCTCTCTCTCTCTCTCTCTCTCTCTCTCTCTCTCTCTCTCTCTCTCTCTCTCTCTCTCTCTGTCTCTCTCTCTGTCTCTTCACGTCCGAAGTCCGGCAGAGGACCCTGCGGAGACGAGTCGCTCGCGTCCGGAAATCCCGACTTGTCCGACTTGATCACGAGCGTTCTAACGACCTAACTCGTGACTCTTAGGTTTGGTTTTCCAACAGACGGGCAAAGTGGCGTCGTCACCAGCGCATGAACCTCTTAAAGCGCTCGCCACCACCGCCACCACCGCCACCGCCACCGCAGCCGCAGCCGCCGCCGCAGCAGCAACCGCATTCCGCTACGTCCGCTATGGAAATCGGCCAGCGTACGTCCAGCTGCTCCATTGCCGGCATGGGCGGCGAAAGTAGCGCGTTCCGCGCGGTCGTCGCCAACTCGGCCGGCCGGGAGCCCGTAGACAGGTCGTCCGAGCGCATCGACCGGTTCGAGTCGTTGCCGAAGCAACCGGAGAGGAAGCCCAGCGCTTTCCGGATGATCAGTCAACTGGTGGGCAACGACTCGACCGGGCTGTCCTCGCGGGCGACCAGTCCCGCGTACGAGCAACGCCAAGGACCCCCGCTGGCGCGCGGCCCAAGCCCCGGCTCGGCGCACCGGCTGCGCTTCGACGACGAGGACGAAGACGAGGAGATCGACGTCCAAGACTCCGATCAAGACGTACCATCGCCGCCGCCGGTCGCTTGGAGGGACCACTGGACCGATCAGCAGCCCTTGGAGCTGACCAAGCATGACCGTTGAGACGCGTGTGTATGTGCATGTGTGTTGAGCGACCAAGTCTCGCTGTGCTGTTCGATTACTCCAGTCGTCGTCGTCGTCGTCGTCGTCGTCATCGTCATCATCATCGTCGTCGCTCGCGGCCAGGTGATGGGATTTCGCTCGCTCAGAGTGTTTATTTATTGCTGGACTTCCCCGCTGGAGCCACCGCCAGTGACCAGAAAGTCGGGGGAGACATCACGCTCTATGGTGCTGCTTGAGTCTAGAGTGCGAGTTCCGTCGGTCCGGCGACGCGACGGGACCGGAAGTTTGCCGCGTCCTTCGACGTCGCCGATCTGGCTCCTCGGTGCGCGACATTGCGCGGATGTCGCGAAAACATTTCTTCTCCGCGACGGACGCCGCGGAGTGCGCGAGTGTCGTCGCGGTGCCGTGTGACAATGTCGACGAGAACGCTGTGTCTCATCGGACGTCGCTGTGATCGTCGCGGGTAATGCCGATTTACCGGGCCGCTCTTTTCTCTTTCCAGCCGAAGAGCCGCTCCCGGGCGGCGCGTCGGCGAGGAAGGATGTAACGTGAGAGCGAAGAGCGAGCGAGCTCGTCGCGAGCTTGCCCGGAACTAGTCCTAGAGAATCCTCTATGAGATAGAGAAGGGGGGGGGGTATGTGCGTTACCTAGAGATATCTGAGATAGGAGTAAGTGGATGGAAGAAGACGCGAATAATCCTCTGTACCAACTCTCTGTTGAGATAACGTTTATTTAAATGAATCCGTTTGTAAATATTCACACGGTGTCACGATTCATTTTCACTCTCTTTCTCTCTCTCTCTCTCTCTCTCTCTCTCTCTCTCTCTCTCTCTCTCTCTGTCTTTCCCTTTCTCTTTCTCTCATCTATCTCTCGCAAACTCTTCCAAATTCTTTCTCAACTACCCTGTCCGACGGACGAGCTGACTTTCCGACGAGTCTCTCTTCTTGACGAATATATTGCCGCACAACGAAATATGCTATATTGAAATAAATTTACACAAACATTCTCGACGGTCTCGCTGCTTACCGAGTTGCCTCTCTCCCAATCCCACAATGCTGAAACAACGACGCGTTGAGGACGACGTCCGCAGTTAAGAATCGTCCTCGACTGCCACCGTCGCTGCGCGGCTTCTTCGTCCTCCTCAGACACAGCAGCTCGATCTTTAAGAGTCACCTTTGCCGTGGAGAAGCGTCAGCTCCGTTCTTCAAGATGGTCTGAAATACACGCGAAACCAGTGTTGGGGGCATTTAGTCCCACCGAACCTCCTGCGCATGTGTCAATCTACGTCACAACTACGTCCAAAGTTTTGATAGACTCGTACTCGCTTATGCACAATAGGGTGCTCTTGGGACGAAACCAATGTAGCAATATAGGATTATGGCTGCGTTCCAATATTCACTGCCAGTACTGAAAATACATCATTTGTGACACATATACCGTAGATTTCAGTGTTAGCAATGAATATCGGAAAGCAGCCTATATAGGAAAAAAAAAAAAATGAAAAAAGATATGGTTCGGGCTCCACAAAAACCTCCAATATTGCATTTAGCATACGAGTGTGATAAGCAGTTATACGCGTGACGTAAATTAATGCTTGTGCTGAAGGTTCGGTGGGACTAAAATGCTACCAACACTGCGCGAAACCGAGGGAGAAGGCGGACTGCGGTCGCCGACGTCGGCGTCGAATCGCGCAGCAACGGACGTCAACGCCGCTCTGATTTACGCTCTTCGGCAATTATCCCCGGTGAGATGCGTTTCCGCGTGTCTATTAGCGCACAACGCAACACAGCAGATGCTTCGCCGCGAGATGAGGCCCGTACCTAACCTAACACTTCCCGTACTTACTTATCTGTCGCCGACGAGCAGCCCGCGGAAATCGCGGACGTTCCCGGCGATCGCGCGACCGTATATCAAATCGAAATGTCGTTTTGTCCGAAGGCGAGGAGAAGCAAGAGGAGTACAAGGGAAGGGTAAAATCAAGGAAGGTAAAATCGAGCGTTATCTCTCGTGCTTAACGTTCCATAGAAGCGAGACGCGGGTTCGTCGCTTATCGTCGTTCGGGACGTTCGTTTTCCATAAAGTAGCTGAAAATCGAAAAGAACGATCTTATCCTCTCTCCCCCCCCCCTCTCTCTCTCAGCCGCGAGCGCGTAAAGTCAGCCGTCGTAAAAACACTGCTCACTTACGCTGCATTATCGCCATAAGCCGCGAGATCCCAATTAGAAATCCGCGGCGAATCGACACGCGCGATCGCTTCTAAATTTCCGCTTACTTCCACGCGCGGCGCGCGTGAACGTGTCAATTCGACGGCCGGCGAGCCGCTCGTCGTCCCGCGACAAATTCATTGGCCGGCCAACGTCGTCGGCGAATAAGTCGACGGTATCCACGCGTACCCCTAAAACCACTCGGCCGCGCGCGTATCCGAGGTGTCCCCAAGCGGGGGACGGGGATGATGCAGCAGGTCTCTCTCGCAGAGCGAGAGAAAGAGAAAAGGCGAAGGCGAGAGGGGAAAAAGCGCACGGAGGGGGGATGAGGGAAGGAGCTCATCGACGATTAACTCGAATCTACGGTTTCGTCGGGCTCGCAAATAAGGAATCTGCGCGCGAAACTGGTTTCTCCGGGCGACACTCTCTTCCACGGGCACGGGTGGAATCGCTTGTCGCCGTCTCGAGAGAGCACGAAAACATCGGATCCGCCGACATTTCGGATATCGTGGCCCGCGTCAACGGGCTGCGCGAGCGCCGAATTTATGGCCACGCTCGGCTTCACGAGCCCGTGAATACGCGCGCGAGCAAGCTCGCGAGCACGCCAGGGCAAGAGAGGAAGACCGAGCCGGCGGCGAGGGGGGGGGGGCGGGAGAGGAGAGGAGAGGAGAGCGAGATCGCGCGCCGGCGGAGCACGTAATACGAGCGGACTCGTTAATGGCGTTAACACGACGAATCGACGCACCTTTTCACGCGCATGTCTCTGTTTTTTCGGGCCCGGCTCCGGCCGGGCCTCGTCCGGCGGCGGGAGAGGAAGCCGCAGGAAAAAGGGAAAGAGAAAGGGAGAGAGAGGGCCTGATTCTATTTGCGCGCGAATGAAACGGCCGGGACAGCGCCGCGTCGGGGTGCGGGTATAAAAATGTAAAAAACGGACGCACACCGCGAGAAACCAGAGATTCGGGCTACCTCTTCGTGGTATATGGAGCTCGCGGATTTTTCGGGACGATCGTCACGCGCGTCCGTGTAATCCGAGCCGGCCGAAGGTGGAACAGGTGGAGGATGCCCAATAACGAAACCAGAAATCCTGGCGAAAGGATAGCGATCGCGATTGTTCTCTTTCTTTCTCTCTTTTTGTTTCACTTTCACTGCCCGGGCAAGGGGAAGAAGGGCCTCTGCGGCGTCCTCATGGGCGACGACGGCCGATTTGTCCGAAAATTATCGGCGCGACACTTGGAAGGTGCAGCACGGCGCTCGATCAGAGCCGAGAATCTTGCCGCGGAAACGTGTCGAGGCCACGGCAGCTTTTCAGCCACTATTGAGTTACATCTAACCTCTCAATGATGAACGCGTGACTTAGGGGTGCAGCGCCTTTAGCGCCCTCTGTGACATCAACGTTTCCCTGCTTTTCAACGCGGATGATATCAAATCCTCTCCTCGTCAGCAGCTTCTAGGTTAGGTTTTGAGGAATGAACCAGCCAGTCATACTATTGCGATCTTGCGTTGCACACAGTTAAAAACCCACGAGCTTGAAAGGTGAAATTTATAAAGGACATTCATAAAGCAGTAACCACACTAACGATTGCCGATTGGATCGCAATTGCGATTGGCGATTGGCGATTACTTTTCAACCAATCAGGGCAAAACAGGCACCGATCGAGATTAGTGATTGCTCTTTAGACAATGTTCTGTTTTAATCGCCAATCGCCAATCGCAATCGTAATCCAATCGGCAATCGCTAGTGCGATTGTGGTTTAAAATGGTAGGCCAGGCTCGTAGAGTAAAAAGCGCATGGAGTGGAAAGACAGCTGGAAGTAGTCAAAAAGTATATATCCGCGATATCGCGCGGATTTCGCGGCGATTAGCTGCTTGACGGAGCATCAGCTTCGCCGGTTCGTCACCCTTCACCCTGAATCGGCGGCTTCTCGCTGCGCTGCGGACCGGCTCATCCTCTGCGCGCGCGCAGTTTCATTCACCTGCCGGCCGCTACATACGAGCGGCAGAGCGCCAGACCCAACACAAACAGTCGGCAGAAGCATTGTAGTGCCAACGGAATCGCCAGCGGCATCGGCACCGGGGCGAGGATCGGTCGGCGACTCCCGACGCAGAGGCAAGAACCGAACGAACGAGCGCGCACGTGGAAGGACAGAGGTGGGAAATAGAACGCGAGGACGCGCGCGAAAGAGGAACGGCTCGAGTCAGCTCAGCGGCGGCGGCGGCGGCGGCGGTGGCGGCGGCTGTGGCTGCGGCGGCGGAGGAGGACAGCAGGAGGAGGAGGAGGTTAGTCGCGTCGGACACGCTCGAACGGTCGGCCACGGGAAAGCAGAACGTAACAATTACTATCCGAGCCCGAGATCGGTGCGCGCGGCAAGATTAACGATCTTACTCTCTCGGCGAGCACGTCTTCTCGGTTCGGCCGCGATTGCTCAGCGCGGGAGGAGCGCGAGGGGGCCGCCCGGCGTTAAAGTCACCTCCTCCTTGGTTCAATGAGATATTGCCTGCCGAGGTAGCCGAGCGTCTCGCGCGCGCGGTAAATCGCGCGCTCGGCCGCTTGCTCATTCGCTTCGGGAGATCACTGTCTCTCTTTCTCCCCTTCCCCTCCCTCTCTCTCTCTTTCTCTGCCTCTCTCGCTCGCTCGTTACCACCGTCGGCCGTGGTATACGCACAGCAGGCGTATACTCGAGCTGAGATATTCGAATGTTAGCGAGAATTAGGGGATTACCGGCGGCTCTCGTCGCGCGTTCGCCCCGTAAATTGCGTTAAGTCACTTCCGTCCGTGAGAAAATATCGGGACGATTGGCGCGATTCGTTCGCGACGGCCAGAGGCAGTTGGGCGGGGGGGGACTGGAGCCGGGGGGGGAAGGGAGGAGGAAATGCGAACGCGTCGCGCGCTTAATCGGCCAAATCACGCGATGACGCTTTTGCGAGGAGAGGCGCATGTTTGCGTGCGCATTAATAACCGAGGCGCTACCGAAATAGTGTGGACGGTACTGAATGAATGACAGCAGTGTATTGGTGATTCGAAAATCGTCAGAAAATGGTTGGCAGCGCGGAAAACGAAACACACCTGCAGTATCTCGTGTAGTAATTAGCACAGTAGAATATAACCTCTACAACACAGAAGCAACATTGCTAGAATATTGCAGCAATATTGCAGCAACATTGCCGCAACTTTTGTATGCTGTATGGGTAACCTATCTAAATATAAAGATTGAAAGTAAATTTGGAGTTATGGCAAGCAACATAACAGTAATTTTACTTGGTGCGCAAAGTATCGCAAATTTTATTGGAGATAATTTTCAAAGTTTATCAAATCAAATAATGAAAGAAATATTTCAAATATTTTATATGTTTTATTTTCACTTCCGTGTCGAGTATCGTGTATTTTATTAGTGACGTTTCTCACGCTTCTTATTTATACAAGTCCAACATTAATTAACAACCAAGCGCCATGTGCATTATTGAACTTGCACTTCTTCGGAATAATGTGTGAAATTAGCCGAAAGTCACTAATGCCCTGGAATCTGTTTTGATGAAAAAGACAATAAATTTTAGTACTTGTATACTGAAGACTATATGCCTGTTCCGAAATCGGTTTCGGAAATTTTGGTTTTAATTGTAAAGTTAGTGGACCTTAAAGAGTAACTCAGGTACGTTCCGTAATTGGTCAGCTGGTCACGCTTGGATGTTCACAGCCATGTATTATTTCTGTTCACAAACTTGGTTTTAATTACTAATTTTGTTTTATTAGATAGAAAATGAATAGATTTTTTATTATTTATTACCGGATCTCTCGATTGTAAAGTCAGTCGCATAAATTAGCCGATTAACGGACGAATCAAAATTAGTTTAAGGCTTACCAACCTTATAACTAAAACCAAGGTTTCCGCG